GAGAGAGAGAGAGGTGTTTCCAGCCTTGTTTGATAGCTCCAAAACGCCAAAACAAAAGTAAGTTCATGGATGAGATTCGAGTTGTGTCAATGGAGAAGAAGAGATGTTAGACGATGAAGTGGAGTTCCGCACCTTTGTATCACGGGCGTTTAATTCTCGTTTGCCGGAGAGATGAAGAATCCAAGGAAACAAGCAACGAGTGCTGTCTCCTACAGATAAGGATGACGAACCTTGTCATGTCAAAAGCAAATCGTAAGAGTGAGTGGTCCCTCTCAGTGACCAAACTCCCATATCATCAACACAGTAAAAGAATAGGCGAACATTGACTCTTCAGCTCTCTGTTGTTATTGGCGAGAGATTTTTTCTATCCACCCCCCTCCTCATGCGAGCACACTCTTCTTTTCCGGTGAACAGGGAACCAAAGTAAGGGCTATCAGGTGCAGATTTTTACATGTGTTTTCCTGCTAATATTACCAATTAATTTTCAAGCTGGAAGCAGTTGATATCATAAAGTTCAGACAGTACATGAAATTTTCCATCAAAGGATATTTAACTAGCCAAATATATATATATATATACAAATGACTCGAGAACTGAACGATGACAAACATGTCAACTGCTGTGCTCCAATTTCCCAGCACGAGTGATTACATTGTGTAAGATTCATATGTTATAGCCCAATCTAGAGATACACTTGTGTGAGATTACATTTTCTTACAGCAGAAGGGAAATAAATGAATGCAAAAATTAGCACACAAGGATAAAAAATTATATATATGGGAGATCTCTTCCAGCTACAAGCCATGACTCTAAGCCTCTTTACGGCCGTGAGGCAGGTGCCGGAGAGCCTCCAACAGAGTGTTCCTAAGCCTCCTCAGGTGAGGCTTCACGTTCTGGTTCTCCAAGTAGATCTTGCTGGTCGTGTACCAGCCTTGCTTTTGGATGGAATCGGGATCCTTTAGCACCGGGTGATTCTTGGGGTATTGATCGCTGAGCGAGCTCTCGTCCGCCTTGATGTGGTAGTCCATGTATTTGAGCTGCATGTCCGAAGAAGGCTTCTTGAAGGTGTCCCTCGCCACCCAATCCAGCCCGCCCATGGGCACCACCTGGATGAGCACGGCGCCTGCCGGGAGGAACACCATGTTGGTCAGCCCGGCGCCGTGCACGCCGATCATCACGTCGGCGGAGTTCACCAGCCGCGCGAACTTGGCCAGGTCGGTCGTGTTGTCGGGCTCGGAGACGCGCACGTCGAACCCCAGGCTCATGGCCATGTCCGCCATCCCCCTCTCGTTCAGGAACGCCCTCGTCTTCCTGCGGGATATGATCAGCAGTCTGGGCTTCCTCTTTGCATCCCGCTGGTCGGCCCACGGCGCCGCCGTCGGCCTCTCCAGCCCATACGCCTTCCTCAGCATCGCCTTGAACTCCACCATGCAGTACCCCGTTGCAGTCTTGGAGGGGTCGACGCCCAGCTCCTTGTGGAAGCTCAACCCGACGATGACGCGCGGGAAGCAGCGGACGGCGTCCGGGTCGTCGTCGTCGGCGTCGATGATGTCGTAGTTGGAGAGCTGATTCAGGATCGAGATGAATTTGCTGACCCACCAAGGCTTGTTTTCGGATACCACGAACTGGACCTCGCCATGGAACTGGTAGGATGATATGAAGAGGGGAACAATGACGTCAGTGAAGTCATGGAAGAGGTTGCCGGTGAATCCTCCGATGGAGAAGACCAGCGCCGGGACCTTGTGGTGCACGGTGCATCGCGGGGGCGGCTCATTGCTGGCCAAAGGCTTTAGAGTCCACTCCTCGATGTTCTTCATGGCTGGCCCGTCATGCTTTCTGCAATAAGGTTTGATCTTCCATTCTCGATCTGTCAAAGAAGGGTGGAGGAAGATGGTTCGCGAGCTTCCTCGCAATCTTGCATCGCCTTCCGCTCGGCAGACGTTGGATCTCTTGCTTGTTTCGGAGCATATCGGTTTGCTGATGACGGTCACAGTTTCTTCTGCAACAATTTTTGGAGGAGTTGCAACATCACCTTCATCATCTTCATCCTCTGCACGTAACGCAACACACGAACGATGGATCAACAGAAGTTGCTGCTTGTGCTTCTCCAAATGATCGACAGAACACATGCAAATTTTGCCAAAGATCTTGTAGATTTAGAGTCCTAATCTTCGTCGCTGCTTGTGCCTCCCCAAACGACCATGTTTTCCTCGAAAACAAGCAGAGGAAAAAGGACATGCAGTCGATATTACCTGGTAGAGCGGCTCCCCAACTCTTCGCCGCAGCCGACTCTGGGACCTCAATGGATTCTATTTCTGCCAATGATCGTAGCTTTGCTGCAAGAAGAACAAACAACAGCAGGCGTTTCTTGAGAACACAAGCTCTAGATGTCGTCAAGAACAGAAAAGCTCAAACAAGAACAAGAGAGAGAGAGAGAGACCATATGGAGCAGAGCAATAGCGAGCCTTGATGAGAGAGAGGATGCAGAGGGAAAGAAGCATGGCGGCGACGATGAGCGCGTTGCCCGTCCTCCTTGGCTCGAGCCTGGGAGGAGCTCTGAGAGACTTCATCCTTCTCCCTCTCTTCTTCAACTCCCCAACCTACGCAGCACTCTTCTTCTGAAGTATATTAAAGGCTCAATCTTCTCGCAGACTACATTGTTGTGGCCATTCCCAGGATCGATCGACTGATTGCAAGCCACTTTCACAAACTTGCTTGATCCCTGATCTCTCTGAACCACCCTTGCAATGAAAAGAAACCAAAATTATAGCTTTATCACCTCATACTGGACATTTATCGTACTGATGGACATATTGACAAGCTTTTGTCTGGTCAAACATAGCCAGATTTCCATCCTGTAGTTTACCATGATGGCTTGACTTCTCGAGTGATGTTGACTATAAAATGTTTGGAGAAGCGGCATTAGGAAGACCAAAAACATGACAGAAAAGGTTTCCTCACCACATTTCATCAGCAAAATATAATGATGACAACAGTCACAAGAAAAGCAGTAATATCAAAAATTGGAATTTACAATCTTGTAAGGCGAGAGAGGTGAAAAGGGAATGAATGTTTCTTTTTTCTGTCCAACTTGTGAAGATATCAACAGCCACTGAGATTTTATTTTCTGGTTAGGTAGATAGATAAGATAGATCGGTGGACATATTTTTTTAGTGCTGAAATCTGATTCAGTAAAAGGTTGTCATTTTCTACTAAAATATGCACTGCTTGCTGCAGTTTAAAGGCATGATGATCTAAGTGAGAAGCTACTTGAAGTATGTGCAACATCAATCACCTTACCCCATAAAGAGTTCCTCTCTCTCTCTCTCTCTCTCTCTCTACAGGAAGAACTTCTACAGAGTTGGTAAGAACAGCTCAACTCCTCTCCTTCCGCCATCTGAATGTTGTGTTGAGTGAACTCGATATGATTTGTTCGAGAACCACGTGAAATCATTCATAGAAGCTCACATCAAGCTCGTGAATGATAGAATCTGTTCTCAGCACCATTGATCCAAATACTGGACGCAGGGCAAAGCAATTTGCACTGCTTTCGTTCATCTGCAAGCCAACTCGATCTCTGAGAAAAGAATGGACAGTCGAACAAGATTGCCGACGAGCCGTTAACATCACTGGATGATAACAACATGACACCACATCACTTTTCATGCCTACCAACGAGTACCGCTGCAAGAAACTATATACATCAGATTCTTCACCAGAAAAATCCAAGTAAATCTTTGTTTTCCCTTCTTTTTCTTTTGGACACAGGAAAGCAGAATACTTCAAATTTTCATGATGCATCAAACTGGGCAGCTACATAGATTCCGGATTCTTCTCTTTTCTTTTCTCTGACATAACTTTCTCAGGCAATCGATGCCGAAGCATTTCACAGATCTGCATGTATGATGAGATTGGAGACCCTAATGGCTATCAATTTCTTCTTTTGGACCTGTGAGGCCTTTACACACAGCCTATTACTTGGCATATAAAGTGGAGATGCATTAGAACTGGTAGGTCATCAACTTCCGAAATCTAAAGAGTCTATTCCAGCAACACTGTGATTTGGCAGTGAAAAGAGAAGAACATCAAGTCCTCTGCATCCATCTCCTTAGATTATTGCAGCTTTTATCATTCTTAGTTAGGACAGATTCATGGAGATAGTCACTTTGATTCCTACTACTCTCTTCTATGTTCCGAGGACACAATTAGCATACCCACCATTGACGGCTCACAGGGTTACCTCAAAGCTATCATGCAAAGGTTGGAGACGCTCAACAAACATATCCCACCTTCAGAATAAGAACATACAACGGCTGAATCTATATGATACCTATAGGAGAGGACAAGAAAGTGCAGCCTAAACATGATGATGGGGACGTATAGACTTTGAACATCTATCGAGACAATCATCTTACAGAGTCATTTCATTCAAACAAAGTTTTCTTACAGGTAGTTCTTGATCTAACTCCTCAAGCAAAGTAAGATAGGCAACCAAGCTGTGTAGAGTTGGTCTTGCAAGTTAATAGGAGATGCCCTAACTTTGATATCTAAGAGGAACAAATAAATTGGTTCCGACTGTAGATGTTTCATCCAACACTCCATAAGTCTATTCTATGACCAACTGAAGGGTAATAAGTGTACCAAATACTTTTTGATCTGGACATCTGTTAATACAAATGGAGTAGAATATGAATTGGACGGTGGAACAAATATAACTACAATAGGGATAATGAGTGCAGTGACAGATACTTCTATCAAGCCAACTTGAACCAGCAAGTTAACAAAGTACAAACACCGGTGCCCGGTTTCTTGGTTAGTGATGTAAACAAGAGAACATTGCTTATGATCCTGAAAAAACCAGTAACAATTAAAACGACTGATAGTTGAGATGTCACAAGTGAGAACACCGATTTCATTTTTCAAATGTGAACTTATCTCACAGTTTAATTGAATAAATAAGAGTCAAAGTCATTGAGAAAAACAGCTACTAACAGTACAGGAGGAATTGAAACCAAAAACATAATTGCCACAAAAAAAAAAAAACAGAACATAAAGGAATTTCCTCTACCTGCCAGACTGGTTTCCAGTCTAGGCATCAATTACGCCATTTACAAATGTGAGGCATATTTACATGGCACAATAAATGGTAGAAGAAAAATCTGAAAGGCGATCATAACCTTTTTTTCATCACTACTCGATGAATATGCGATGACCAAACAAGTAGGAAGACAACGAGGGCCATACCCACAGTCGTCCAGAATGTAATCAACCACGGGGGCATTGGATGGGGAAAGAGACCTGGTTTGAGGAATTACTAATCAGTCTGTGATAGCATAAATTAACTTTGCAAGCAGCACATTGGAAGTATAAACCATAAAAACCAAAATATTAGGCACCCACCATGTCCAAATTTGACACATATCAGAAGCTCCACTATGCAAATAGCTAGTGAAATCCAACAGAATGCTCCAACCTTCTTCACAGGCTCTCTGAAACCATTGATCATGTTAGTCATCGTTCTAGTTCTAGGTGCAACAGTTGCTTGTGATCATCGCATTTTGGAAAGTGAAAATACATCAAAAATTAGATACCATTTTGTGTTTTAATAAATTAAGAACTAGTGGTACATGCTAACGATTAACTTGAGATGAACAGGAATTTTGCACATTTACTAAAGAATACTTTTTTTTATGGTAGAACCAAGTATACCTGTCTTGCAAGTAGGTATTGTACTCACGGATAGTTGGTATAGCAATTAACCACCACAGAACCAATCTATAAACAATCAAGGGGTTTCTAGGTGGAATCCAAAGACAAAACTTGAGAAAGAAGGTATTGAGCTCCACGGTCATAAAAACAACACAGAGGCACAGCACTTGAATGAACCTCCATGGTCCAAGCAAAGGATGCCATTCATCTTTGTCCCATCGTGCGGGTGTAAATTGCCCCAATGTTCTTTTGACCTTGAAAAACAAATAACATGTATATAGATGAAAAAAATGAATACATCTTTGAGATAACAAAGCAATTATTGTGGCAGGGAAGCAACTAAGACATGCATTAAAAAATATGAATATTAAGACAAGCAACTAAGACATCCATCAGTTTGTACAAGTTCAAAAGCAAGAAATTAACTAGACTCTATAAGAGAACACAATAGAAGCCAACTAGTCTACAGCAGGGATGGGGCTTGCGATGATTAAATAATCATGTACAGCAATCTTTCTCAAAATTTGGATAAACATGAAACTAAAGAATAGTAAGAATTAAGAAACCAAAATAAGAATTTACAATCTCTTGTAGTGAACAGAGATCAAAAGATAGCAAAGTCCCCATTGGATCATAGATAGACATGGATCTCATAACAAAGTACAAACCGTAAGGCAGGCAGTTTGCTAATTGGCTTAATCACAAGCTTCACCATTAGATCCAAATCAGGCTCGACTTCTTGGAACATGGTTACATCCGGAGGCTGGATCAAGCTCAAGTACGATAAAATGCCTTGGGGAGGAATGTCTAATGTAAGATGCTGCGAGCTAGATTGAGCATCTTGCTGAATCATTTTTTAAGTAAGCAGGGCCCTTAATCCAGCCTGCTTGAAACCCCTACATGACCAATTTTGACATTCATCTCAATCTAAGCAAATCCTTTGGTATTTGTCATTTAGCACTTCTATTCAAGTTGGTTCTTCTATGCATGAAATGATTTCTGTTGAAGATATCCAAACATCCATAAAATAGTTCTGCCTCAACTTCAGCTGAATTGGTGAAGCTTCCAGATTTGCACAAATGCAATCTCAACAATCTAATTGCAAATATTCAATTTCTGGTCAAAATTTGAAGTACTCTTTTTTGTACAAATTTGGCTATATTAGATATTATCTACATTTCTGGATAAAAACAAGTTATTATATGTAGATGCCAAATTGAAAAGAATGATAGAAATTAGAAAGTATACCCTGCAGCAAATCCTACACTTATTCTGGCAAGCTCTTATTTAAAAATTTGGTTTGTCATTCACTGGGTAAACATAGGCATCAGATATTTGCAGCAAGGATCCGTCATCACTGAAAGGGCACCTGACATGACAGTCATTAATCTGCACCATTCATGACCAGCACATGATCATGACACAAGCACCAACGAATGACAACTTGTGTCATGGCATGTGCACAATGGCAATTTAATCATGAATCAATCAAGTGCCTGTAGTTTATAGATGACAAACAGCTTGACAAAACATATCTATTGGTGGTGCAGCAAGATCAATTTTGTGTGAGGCTGACCACATTTTGAACTTATCAAGGAGCAACATGACGGTGAGATGCTGAACATTTATGCACTGGTAGCTCTTCAAGCTCAATGAAGCCATCTGCTATCCAAATGTCACATGTTCCAAAGACCTCCCAAATAGTCATGATACCATTCTATAACCAGCCAATACCAGATCATCATGCAGTTTTTTCCAGCATTACATATGAAATTGAAAAGAATATAAATAATTAATAGAGGTCAATAGACCTCTGTGCAATCTTTTCTGACATTTAGTAGTATATTGATTCTGCAAAATGGTGAGGCTAATTTTACTTGTTTGTGAAACCATATCAAGAAATTCATGGTAAAACTTCTATTTGATTCTTAAGAGAGAAGCATATGTTCCCTAACTTAAGCAACAAGAGAAATAAAGAATCATTTAGGGTATGTATGTTTAATATATCGTGTAACTCTTTCTGATCTGCCTCCTGTCTTCATTCTACAAAGGTCACAAGAGAGGTAATGGTAATATATCAAGTATCAAAGCATTAGCAGAAATGCTGAAAACAAATTCATTAATTGATCTCTGAAATCTGAAAAAAAAAAAGATTCTTATCCTAATCTACTGTCATAAAAGAATAACACAACCATTATATTCATAATACTCTTATCGACAGGTAATTAATCATGTTCCCAAGAACAAAGGAAAGATAAATATCAGGTCCAACCTGCAACATAATCATAAAGGCAGACTCGAATATTCATAAAAGCTGAAGAATACTTGTAATAGTACATACTTTACCAATGATATTTGGCTGGCGACTTATGCCAACCCATTCATAGGTTTTCCCATCAAAGTACCTAACAGTACGCATTCCTGCACAAATACCTGAACCATGAACCAAAATATCATCATAATGTCAGCCAAATCTTTTGTTTCCTCTTTTTGGTTGAGTAAAATTTCATAGATCATGTATAAAAAGAACCTCATATGTTAAAAAGAAATATAAATTAAAAAAAATACAGAATCTAACTTATGAATTTCATGGGTGAATAGTCAAATCCTGATACTTCAGAAAAGTCTCCTTTTACAAATTAGTTACATGGTTATGATAATTCGACAAGCTGTCACTACATAAACCATCAAGTAAATGTCATCATGAGAAACAAAAGATAACAATTCCAAAATTCCAAATTAATCTCTTAATTTCTGTCTCAATAGTGCACGAGTGCAACTTCATTATGTCCCAAGAACAGTAATAAAGCCATTTAGGAACGAGTTTCCTCATAATACAGCTACAATCAACAGAAATAAGAAAGTGGCAAGTGCCCAATAGTGCTCTGTCATATAGACAAATTTATATAAGTGAGTCATTTTAGAAGCACAAGCAAAAGGTGGAAGCAAAATCCTGGAATTTTTGCAAGTCCAACAATGAATATTCTAGCTGTTGAGGAAGCTTCTACAATCAACCTAACAATATTATGAAGTAGAACACAAACCAGATACACTGAGCAAACCTCTTTTTAGCCTATTAAACTTGCCAGGATAGAAATTACAGAAAAGGCTCATTGACATGTCCCAAAATTCAAATATATACAACTCTTTTAAGAAGATAAACCCACAAGGTTGCAGCCCAGAAGGCCACAAGGTTGAAGCAATGATGACATCCTATCATGGAATTAAGAAACCAACCAAATAACAAAATAATGTGGATGCATAAATCAGAGACTAGAATCATACCCCAGTTTTCGTAAATGAAGTATAAGCTGTGAACATAGTTATAGCCTTATAGATATTGAATGAAACCTTATGCCACAAAAGAGTTGGATGAGGCTCACAAAAAAATTTCTGTTCTGTTTAGCTGGGCTAGTTCAAACTTGGGAAATTCAAAACTTGATAAGCATTGTTTGCATTCAGCAACAATATAAAAGCAAATGGGGCCTCACCAAACCAATTGCAGATTAAGATGTCCAAAATAATACTGTCCCACCAACACTCGTTGAAATTCGGCAACATATGACGAAAAGTAAGCTGTGATTGTTGGATGGAAAACTTTCAAAATGCTGGATTCTTTAAGGGAAAAAAGTCATAATCTATATTAGTAATCGCTGCTCAATGTGAACACAGACCTCCATTAATTCAAAGCCAACTGACAACACCCACAAAAGGGGCTGGTTACGTATCATTATCGCCTTCCCCCACCATCCAAAAATATGAGCAAGAACAAACTCGTCAAATAATGTCTCCTGGAAATAACATAAGAAACAATTAGTAATTGCAACACTACAAAATATGTTTTGCTTAAAAACATTAAGAAATATAGAATAAAAAAGATTAGGTTGAACAATGAAGAAATCATACATAAACATTGATAAACCTGCTTTTTGGATTATCAGGGACATAAATACGACAATCAGCTCCGTATGACCTTTCAGGTAGTTCTGTACAATATAAACAATTCTGATTTTTTTTTATTTACAAAAAATAATATTTTTATAACACAAATTAAAAGGTTCCTGATCAATGCTTACCAACTCCTAGATCAGGGTGGAGATATTTCATAAACTGCCGAGCATCATCACGATTCTGGGGAGTGGGGCAAAGACACCAGAGAAATGATTACAGAATTTAGAGATGGAAGTGATCACAAAACTTAGGTTGTGTATATTTAGATTTGAGTGTAGATGCTTCTCAGAACACAACAAGAAGTACAAAAGGTAAAATACCAATCAAACAGAAGCACCAGAATCTTCTAAAATGTTTTTTTTAAAGGCTACAAGACCAACCAAAAGTCAAGTACCTATTACATGGTCCACCATGACACACGCTAAGAGGAAAAAGACAGAACAGATTAGCTGATATTGCACAAATTTAAAAATGTGACTAAAACTTCATCTGATTCTAGATCCAATACCAAGTACCAGAGCAAAGCAAAAGGAAAACGATTCAAAAAAATTAACAATAGAAAGAAGATTCACAAATGATAATGTTCTTAGTGATTTATACCTGGAAAAGCAAAAAAGTGAGGGCAACAAGGTACACCACAGCCATTCCATGAACCAAGCGCCAAATGGCAGGATGCGGCCTTATAAGGACCCTGAAAAACATATATGCTGTGAACAAGGTATAAATTACCATGCCATCTTATACGAATGCAGCAACAGCTTTAAAATAAAAGTCTAAAGACAAGTGACAGCTTTTTGCTAGCAAACTAGATTGTACATCTTGAAGGAGACAGAACTTCCCACCACTTATATGATTCGACATAAAAAGAAAAAGAAAAAAAATCATTTGCTATGTTTAAATTTCCATGTGCAAGTACCACAAGATCCTCCATATGCTATCAAATCATTCTGCATCCTTGTGATGATAGCAGATACTTTATGACTTAAAATGTTGAATATTGGCAGTAAAGTACAAGATAGAAACAATTTTATTTCTGATGCCTATATAGAGGAACAGTTGCTTAGGAAACATCACTAAGATTTCATTGATTGTGGTAGTATAGGTAAATTTCATGACTTTCATGTCTAATATGCTTAGGAAAGGCATATGAACCATGTTTCATTCCACAAATAAATTGAGAACATGAAAATTAATGAAGAGATAACAAATTTAAATCCTCGGATCGAGCAAAGGAAGTCATAACTTACGTTGAAGGTGCTTGCAGCAAGGAATAGGCTAGGAACACTGCAATCATTGCCCAAACACCCCTGAAAAACAAAGACAGATCAATGACAACAAGCCTGATATAATAAAAGCAAATTGAAACATACAAACTACCGAGAGCAAAAATGATGCAGAGAGAACCATTCATCAGTAAATAACTTATAGAACATAGCTTGGACATTAAGCTCATAATCAAAATGCAAACAAAGAAAATAACTTTTCAAAAGTCTTTTTTTTTTTTGCAATTTCAAAAGTCTTTTCAGTAATGTAATAAACACACCTCTTTACTGATGAAACAATGTCTTTTGATGCTGTGCTTTCAGGATCAAGTGCTCCACTTGCCCAACTGTAAAAAAAGATGGTTATGTAAACCTGCCAATCTGTAATAAAACCATAAAACATTAACAAGCACATGCATTATAGGACTGTCAGGTTTCTGATGTACTGTCTTAGTGCTTTCTGAACAAAACACTTATGGTTGAATCAGTGACTCAATCTTGACTTTTGCTTCACACTACAACTTGCTAATGAGATTTTCTGTTGTTCTTAAAATGGCTTATTAGTAATTTACCAAGGCCTCATCACCATATCTTTATGTAAGGTTACCTTAAAGTTTGTGGAAGACTATGAAATAAGTAGTTAACGATGCAATTCCACAGTGATCATTCTTCTAGATATCTTAAACCATTCTTTCCCTTGTTGATCACTTTTCCTCCTTTTTTTTTCAGCACAATATTTCAAGTAGTTACTGCTAAATCAAATATGAGTTCAGATATGCTTATGCTATATCAGTGTCTTCTCTAATTGACAATTTAGAAAAGAAAGGAGAACGATATATATATATATACACATATATATATATATACACATATATATATATATACACATATATATATATATATATACATATATATATACATACATATATATACATACATACATACATACATACATACATACATACATATATATATATATATATATATATATATATATATATATATATATATATATATATAGACACTGACATACACACACGCACACAAACTATCAAACTAGAAAGAGCCATAACTCACACTAATATACATGTCCCGATGAGGAGTAAAGATATTGTGCGTGGCTTGTATGCCCAAGCTGTCCATGGATCAAGCTCGCCAAAATCACTTTTAGATTTCGCATCAATATCTCCTTGAGCCATGTGGTTCCTTCTTGTTATCTTTACTAGGCCATTGGCCTCCATGAGCATCAGCCAAGCTGCTCCCTGGCGTCATTAGTCGATGAATGAGAGACATAATACTCGTATATGAAGAACTCAAAAAAATGAGCAGACATCGTTCCTGAGAAACAACATAAAATTCAATCATGTAGGTTCCAAAACCAATCCAACATAAGATTCATTGGAATAATCAGTTCTACGGCCATGAACTGTCAGAAAGAACCACCTCTTGATATAACCAAGTCATCTTCTATGACTTAAAACGAACAGTGCTGAAGATATCTAACACGCAGATTGCTGCAAATCACAAATAAAAGTACATGACTCTAAAAAGATCGCCTGCGAAAAAGATTATATCAGCAGAAAAACAAATGGCTACATTATTATAAGCGGCGGTTTCAGTTTTAAATCGCACGAGTTAGGAAATAGTACTTAGAGTGGTAACGATTAAAATTAAAAGAGAAATTGGAAAAGACAATCTTTACAACCAAAACCTTTACACCTTCGGATATGCGAAGGACGGATACCACTCAAGAAAACAAGAAATATTTTTTGCGAATTCATAAGCCTTAATCACAATCCAAAATCCAAACTTGAGAGCATCTGCTCTAAGCTACCCATTCAAAGGAAACGCCATAGCGGCTTCTGCTAAATCTACACCAGTGATCATTTTCCTTGGGTAATATTCTCGAAACCAAGCACCAAAATAAAGATGAATGATAAAGGTATCTTCGGAGGAACATAATCTTATGGTTGAGTATCTGATAAAGCGAATAGAACGCAACAAAGGCAAGAAACCATACCCTTTTCATTTTCGAACAGAAGGATATTTTCCAAATTATGGAGGCAAAACACCAAGAAATGGGTAGAACTACCCCAAAAATAGAAGGCTTAACCAAGAGATTCCAATCAAGAACGCAGAGTACCTTACACAGAGAAGATTGTACTCTTCCTTCAGCGTTTCTTTCTTTTTCTCCGGTAATGTAACCGGAATGCGGAGAACGAAAACAAGGCAATGGACTGAAAGCGTCACAGGAAAACTGGAAGAGAAACACGAGAAAGGCGGTTCCTTTATTTCCCGTTTCTTGACGGACACTCACGTAGGCAGTGGCCGACAAGCCCGCCCCCGCCGTACGATCAGAGGACGACGAGATCCGGGCCGCCAAAAGCAGCCCGAATCGATCAAGCCGCAAGCTTCTTAGTTCTTTTCTCCTCAGTCCTCCCTATTCGATCGCGAGAGGCGAAAACAGGGTTTGAGAGAAGAACGATTTATAAAGGAAAGAGTGAGTGAGAGAGACGGAAGAAAGAGATTCCGTAGGTGGTCAAAAAGGTTCTTCGATCTACGGGAAGAGCAGTGTTTATGTGCAATACTGCCCTTTTAGTCTACCATATTTACATAAGAGGCCACTGTGTATACAGTATGAGTATCACTTATTTTATATATATATATATATATATATATATATATATATATATATA